AATAAATTTATAATCTTTATAATTTAAAATATAAAAACCCCTACTAACAAAGTGGACTTTACAAATAAATTTCTATTAATTCATTATTTACAAATAAATTTCTATTAATCAATTATATTCTCAATTCTATAGTTACTGCAAGAACTATGGAACTGCAGATCTTAATGGCAGTGTGATGGTGGCATTACAGTATGGGGAAAATACACAAACCTTCTTTGGAAACTTGTGGATATATTAATAATTAATTTTATTTCACTTCCTTATTTTGAAGTCAAATATAATTTGGAATTAAGTTACACAATGCAGCTGAAATACATCTTGTAATTCTTGATGCAACTGATGAATAATAAATATCATATTAGAAATTTTTCATGCAATTATTTATGAAGATAGCATCACAATGCCGGCTGCAATTTTTAATCTTTTAATTTAAAAAAAAAATAATGTGACTTTCAGTTTAGACTGGAAGTTTCTTTATAGTTAATCAGTGTCTTTAGCCCCTAAGCTTTCCATATCTAGTCTTGATTTACAACTATCTAACTCTGTTCAAGATTAACAAAGAACAGACAGATGATGACAGTGGGAATGTATAGGTCTATAATTTGAAAACTGCAGCCCAATTATTACTGATCAAAATTCTTATACATAAAAAAATTGAACCTTTACTGATAAATAAAAAGTAGAATTGAAATTAGAATACTGCCTAATTCTAATTTCAATTCTAATTTCAATTCTACAATTGATTTTCAAAATACACACTAAACAATTTGATTAGTCACTAATGGGGCTAAATATTCATTAACAGAGTTAATTATTCATACTTTAATTTGAGTTTTCAAACTTGTCTTACAACATTAAAAAGATCTCATACAATTTAAAAAGAAAGCTAAATCAAACAGAAATTTCACTTGTGTTATTTTTTAATTAATGAAATTTAAACCTCAGTTATTTTTAAAAGACCTTTAAAAATTTTAAAAGATAATAGTATATGAATAAAAATAAAATTGCATTAGTTATAATTCTTTGAAAATTAAAAAATTTTACAGGCTTTATTTTTTGTATTATTCTGAAAGCAATAAATAATTAATATCATTATTTGATAAACTGAACAACTTTCATTCTAATTTATATAATACTGTTAGAACAATATCAACATGATAGAATAAAGTAATTTTTATTTTATTTAATTGTAGTAGAATTTTTCAGAATACATGACATTTTGATAAAATACAAAATATGAAAATTTATTTAACTAAGCATCTGGTTTGCATTACCCTATTATATAATAGTAACTATACTTAGCAGTGAGAAAAGTTTTTCAATTTCAGAAACATTTTGATAAACATTTTTGTGTTATCAGAAGTATACATTTCATCTTTTATTACTATTATAGAAATTAGATTAAATAGAAAACAAACAATAAAATTCAATTTTCATAAATGACTTTATTGTTAGAAAAACTGACAGAAAGCACCACTGCACAGTAACTTAAAATTTTGTTTGTCTGTCGAAAATGCAAAATAGTCTCAACTTAGTATCTGAAAAATAATTTAGGAGTATCAAAATAGAAAAAATAAATTGTTCAGAAGTCAAGGACTGTCTATAATTAGTTTTCAATGACTGAATGAAACAGATATTTGAATGACTAGATTAACCAGCCATCTCTATTGCACATATTATTTACTTTTTGCCTTTAGTTACTACATTAAATTGTGATAACATAACCAGTTCTTTAAATTTTAAGGCTTATCACACCAGTGAATATAATATTACAAACAAAAGTAGTTTATTTTGTATCTACATTTTACAACTGACATAGAAAAAGAACTGTATAATGACTTAGATTAAATTAAATCATTGTAATTAAATCTTAAATCATTGTAACTTTCTATTCTATACTAATTGTAAAATTTAGATATAAAATGAACTACTTTCATTTGTTGATTCTGTTGCATTGTTTTGCAAAATCTGTTGCACTGATGTAACATATTCAGTGGTGTGATGAATCCTAAAATTTAAAGAATTGATTAGGTTATAATAATTTAATCTCTATTCCAAATAATATTTCAAATATAATCTTGAGATAAATGTAAATACTTATATATCAGTATAATGTAATACAATTTAAAAAAGCACAACTTCAACGACAAAAGATTTTAATATAGGTTTTTCTGGGGATGAATAGCTTCTAAATTATGAACAAGTACAGAAAGATATATTAATATAAACTAAGATTTGAATAGTTAATGTATAATTTAGTCTATTATTCATCTATATCTTGAATATCTATTGTATTATCATAAAATAATTCCTTTGATACTATGAACTCTATCATTAACATTCAGACTTAATAAACGCAAGACTGATAATTATCCTGATGATTCCCTAAATTTTATTTGTAATCTTGTGATTCTTAAATCTGATTCTTACTAATATATATANATCATAATATAGAATTTAAATTTAGTTTTATTGATAAAATGGAAATTAGGAACACAAAGTCATGTGGCAGGCCGACTTCTATTTGAAGACTTTTACCATTTGTAATAATTATATCTTGAATGATGGCATTGACAGAGAAAGATATTTTAAACAATTTTACATATTGAAGTGGAGAAGAGCTTCCAAATAAAAGTTAACTCTGTCATGTGACTATGTTCCCATGTTGTGAAAACAATGAATGTGAAGGTACTAAAGATTCTTTTGTATTTGTTTTCAGTTGGTGAATATTTTTAACAGTTCTTAATGTAATCTTTTTTATTAACTTTAAAGATTGAATAAAAATTTACAGATGAAAATATATTTCAGCTAAATAAAACTATTAAAACTTCTTCCAATTTATTGGTGATAAATAGAATGTAATAATATAAAAAATTATACTAACATTAAGATTATTTATAATTTGTATTCTTAAGTGTGACTGAAGATAATTAATTCTGAAGTCCTTGAATTATCTTTCTAAAACATATCTTTATAATAAATGCATTAATAGAAATGTTTACTCTATTTTATTCTGTATCTCACAAAACTTATGGATGCCTCCATAAATAAATTATACAATGGCATATTTTTTGTAAAATACAACTATATGTTATGTATTAAAACTACCTTTTCTCCCATTGAAACTCCTCCAGTTGTGACAATTACATCTGCATTTTGAAACATTTTATCCAATTTCATTTTTATTTCTTCTGGACTAAAAAAAGTTTGATTATTATTAATATATTTTGTAAAATTAAATTTTCAAAACTAAAAAGAAAATTAAAAATTTCAAATTTAACATATTCCTTCTATCAAAATTATTTCAAGCATTTAACTTCAAGTAAGTGATATATTAGAGAAAATGAATAAAGGATATTTAAGGAAAAGATTATTATTTAAAATTTTGTGCAAACATTCAGTCTATAAATTATTTTTATCTGCTTTTGTTTAAAATACTGTTTAATCCCGATTTACAAGTATACCTTGTTCTGAAAACCACAAATAAATTGAACTAAATTGAAATTTCATAAATAGGGACAAGTTTTCCCATTACTTCTTACAGCAAAATTTGTATCTTTTATTGAAATAACCACTCTTCCTATCCATTTTTCCCAAACAATATTAAAATGCTATAAAACTTATATTTGCCTATCAACCAAAATATAAATGAAATAAAATAAAACTGTTGATTAGTTCCTATAATATTGGTGAAAAAACAAAAATTACTTTTCTTTACAGATTAATTCATTGAATTTAGTTCTAAAGTCAATTGAAACATTTTACTACTACAGGAAAAGAAAAAACTTTGATTTATTAAAAAACAAAAACTTCAATTTAGAATTTTAATAAGATCTCTCTCAGTAACTATAGTTGTTGAAAGAGATTTTTTTATTAAATTTTAAAAATGAAATGTCAAATTGATATTGTGAACATACTGTAAATTGCATTCTGCTATTTTAAACTATAAATAAATAAATATATATTGAATATAACAATATTATAATAAATAAAAAATACTTGTCTTTAGCAATTCCTCCATCATATGTTGAAAAATCTTCAGTTTTAAATAATGCTAATAGTGTAGTCTTGTTACTATCTCGAATAACTCCTCCTTTTGAAGAATCATCACCAGGTTCAACAATCTAGAAATCATTTAAACCATTAAAAAATAGTTTTTATAAATAAAAAATATAGATCTTCAATACTTTAAAAATGAACATTTGTTTAGCTTGTTAATAAGTTCAAAAATTAAAATATCCTTCAGAAAACATTTCAAGAATTACTTAGAAAGTTAATTCACAAAATGTATAAAAAGCATTTTAGAAGACATCACTTAAATGGTCTCTAAAAATTTGATTATTGTTCTTTAAAGAATTATTTTAAAATATATTATCTAAAGTCAAACACTTAATTTTTATTTGCTCATCTTTATGGTTTCAGATACATTTTAAATATAATTTATTTTGATGTACTCTTGCATGTTAACTGACTGTGATCAGAATTAGTCAATATATTAAAAAAAATTATAACAGGTTTTTAGATAATACCATTACTATAATTTTAAAGCCAACATTACAGCAATTTGCTGTTTTAATGTTTTTGAAGGAAAAATGCAGCTATTAAAAATGTAGCATGAAATGACATTAAAATATAAAATATAAAAGTTATTTATCTATTTTAAATTAAAACAAAAGTTAAATTTTTAATAAATAAATAAATATAACAAATTAACAAATGCATTTGTATTTTCAAATATTTTTATTGTTACAAAAATATTAAATATTTACCTCATTTCCAGTAGACAGAATGCCAATAATAGGCTTCTTATATACATTTATATTAATTGGACCAACTGCAGCCAATATTCCTAATTCAGCAGGACCAAGTTTAGTTTGTTTAGATAAAATTAATTCACCTTTTTTTATATCACTTCCAACTGGTCTGAAATAATTCAAAAATATTATTTTAAAAAAAATACTGATAATAATTCGAAAAAAAATATAAATATAATTTTAAATGCGTCACCTTATGTCTTGCCCAATTTTAGGTTTTGTATGAATGACAATTTCTATTTCTGTTTTTCCCTAATATGAAACATAATAGTAAATAAAATAATTTGTGCTATTTACTTATTTTAAACTGTAACCCAATGTATTATAAAATAAATAAAATCAAAGCAGCTTCATTAATATCAGTTTAATTCATATATGCACACATTTACAAATATTTGGAATTAATAAATTTATTAATCCAGAATTAATTATTACATTAAGGAAACTATTGATAAATAATATGCATCATTTTTTACTTATTTTGAAATAAAAATTATCGTGATATGAAATTTCATATAATTCCTTACATTAAATGCCTTAAAATGCTAATTTACAAAAAGAAAAAATTTAGAAGTAAAATATTTAGGTATTCTATTTTCACTAGAGCAGTTCACCTAGTGATTTCAATACAATCCTACTATCTTGCATCACATCATGAAAAACTACATATTTTTGTAAATTTAAAACAATTTTTTATAAATAATATTAGTTTTATATAGATAAACGAAATAACTAAAAATAATATAAAAAAATAGATAAAGAAAATCAACAGTATAACAAAAGAAAACATTGTAATTTTAAATAATGCAGAGCAGAAAATAAATTCATGATGCTTAAAAATCAATTGTTCATATGAAGTGATATTTGATGAGACGTTAAGGGTGTTTAGTATCTCAAAGAAAATAAAATATTTTAAAATTTTCAAGATGTCTCTGGTTATGAATTTAACTTACATCATCAGATTGATTTGTAAGTTCTGTATCTTCAACTTGTACAACAGCATCAGCTCCTGAAGGTACAGGTGCTCCTGTACTTATTCTTATGCAATTTCCTGACATCAATTTGTATTCATCAGGCTAAATTAAATCATGAATAATTTTTAAATATTGTGCATAACTAGAAAATCTTTTGTTAAAAATAAAATTTTCAAATATAATTTTAACATAGATTTAATTACTGTAGAAGTTAATGACTTTTATAAGTAACAGTATATAAATAAATAATATGGCATTTGCCTTTTAGGAATGCATATCATATTGAAAAATAAAATTATATGAAAATTCTAGATCTTTCTTCACAAATTATCTAACTTTCTAGATTAAAAAAAGAACAAAATAAATGCAAACACTTCACACAATTAAAGAATATGGAATACATGCTTGTATTTTATCATATAACTTAATAAAATAAAGTAGAGCATCATTTATCCGAAAGCCGATCAACTGAAACATCAGTTAACTGAAAGAATTCCAGTCAGACTGTGTCGTGCTGAATAAAACGTTTTTGATACTAGATTAACTTCCAAAATATAATTTTTTTGTTTTTATATTTTCCAATATATTTATTTTGTTTGTACAAAATAAAGAAATAATTTTTAACGATACAATAGTCACGATTATTATTTTAAAAAGTTTACGTTAGGCTTACCATCGACGAAAATTCAACATGAAGTGACACACAACAGAAAAAAATTAAGATGAGATAGGTTAATATATTTTTTCATACATAATCAGTTATCCGGAAAATAAGTTATCTGAACAACCCCAGTCCCCAATTGATTTGGATAAACGATGCTCTACTGTATGTATGAATTTTGTGTATATAAATTTAAAAATTAGATTATATTCAATTCTCCATATTGAGCAAAGTGAATTTCAAATGAATTGATCAATATGAATAAACTTATAATACAGGACAATTTTAAAATCATCTCTATTTTCAAAAGTACAGTAGAACCTCGAAAACTCGGCCTAATGTGGACCGAAGGGTGGCCGAGTTTGTTAAAATGCCGGGTTATCGGGAATGGGGTTAAAAAAAAAATAAGTACAAGTGTTTCCTCAGAAAATACTGTACTGTACTTGTATGTATTGTTTACTTGAGAATATAACAGAGAATAAACTGCCCAAATACCCTTAAACAAAGGAAAAGTACGTCCTTTATGAAGGCATAGAGCCTTTACTACATGAAAATGAAAATTAATGAATACACTGTGTACAGTAATTTACCTGTACAGACAGACCTCAGAAAAATACTTTATGAGAGCTTTTATACTTTTATAAAGCTGTCTATAATGAAAATTAATTAACTAAGGATTTTTTTGCCCTGCTAGGGTGTGGTCGAGTTATCTGGTGTGCCGGGTTATCGAGAGCCGAGTTTGAAATTCTACTGTATCTATAATGTTTATTTGTATTATTTAATTACCAAATGAATTCTGTACGAAAGTATATCCACATTTTTAATCATAAAGTTGCAAGTACAGTGGGTGATCAGTTAATGAACAGTTAGGATAGCAAACAAATCGGATAGTGAACACTTTCGTGAAAGATTTTTATGATCAGACAACGAACACTTTACTGAACAAACATAAAAAGAAGCTACGAAAAAAATAATGAATACAGATTGATTTTCCCTTGTCTTCAGGTAACAATTCGAAACCTTTCAGAGTGCAGGAGACGTCAACATCAACGCTGAACCCGATATTGATCAGATAGTATTCCTCTGAATTTTGAAACTCCCCCTTGTAATTCCAGCTTTTCGTTTACTTTTCTGCCAAATAATTTTTATAATCTTCTCAAGACTGTTGGACAGGCACTTGTTAAGTTTTGCGTCAGTGTTTATTTACGAAAGTTTATTTATGAAAGTTTAACTGTCCTGTCAGATATTCATTAATGTTTTAATACCAAATTTCATCCAGGTCTTGCATTTAAATAATTTTTGTGATTTCTGTTCTCTGAATTTTTGTAAATACTTTTCTGAACTTATTATTTAAAAAAGAAACTGATAATATTATGGAGCCTAAAAAGAGGAATGTCAAAAACTGTGCTCACCGTAGTAACCAAGCAAGATATAACAGCCAAGGTAGAGAGTGGGCAGATGTCTGATGTTGCTAGGCAGTAAGGCTTGAACAGGTCTACAATAAACACAATTTTAGCTATGAAAAATATATCAAGAAGTCTCAAGCTGCTAATGGAGTAATGAAAATCACATCTGAGAAATAAAGAGCATTTTAGAGCTCATAATAAAACCTGAAATTGATCTGATGACAGAAGAACTCCAAGATTCTCAAATGAAGAATATCAAGAAACTCAGCGAGATGTATTTTCTTTTGAAAAAGGAAGACGAAAGTGGACTAATGGCGACATCTGCTACTAAAGATCTTTTGAAATGGTAAGATGTCAGAACAACGATCATCCAAGCGGCATCCAGAATAAGGTTAATGGGGTTGAGATCTTTACAATTATAATACTATTAATTACTTCCGAAAAATCCTGAAGAAAAGAGAAAAGCAATCAACATTGGACAGGTTCTTTAACTCCCACAAACAGAAAAAAACATGAATAACAACAATGCAAGACTGCATATATATGCATTTTTACTATTACATATAAATAAACATAGTAAAATAGTATATATTTTTTATTTTTTGGAGTCTCCAGAATGAATTAATCCAATTCTCATAAAAACCTGTGGTAAATCGATAATCAGTTAATGAACAATTCAGATAATGAACAAAGTCTTGGAACAGATTATGTTTGTTAACCGATCACACACTGTATATAACTGAAATAAACAATTATAAGTTAATTCATACTGAAATGTTTTTGAAGATATACTAATTTCAAAATTCAATATATTGTATCAATTTTAAAAGTGGATTTTCTACAGAAATGGCTTAATAAAATCTGAATACTTATTATTTAATATGTTTTCAATACAAAGTGAAAATGCCTTAGAAATGTGTGAAATAACTTTCATTTCTCAACATTTTAAATGCTACACTAGACAAGATAAGAACACAGTTTATTTCTATCCTTGTGCCATATCACATATTTTTTGTATAGTATATGTTTAATTTTGTTTATTAAAAAAGAGTATAAACTTTTTATTTATATATGCAGTTTGAAATAAATACTTTTAAAACATTTATTTAAATTTTCATATAATTTTTCATAACTTAAAATATTAAAATTAATCAAAATGTTTCATTTAACTTCTCTATTTAAAATTAAGAAATTAAATGAATGGATTATCAGTTATTATATTAAATGTAAAATATTTAATTATGAATTTTTATTACATTACTAAATTATTAAATTGATTTAAATTATAAAATGTAACAATTTTAAGAGAGTAACTGAATTTTATTTCTAACATTTCATTAGATATACCTTTTTTCCAGCAGTTACATCCCCTAAAACTTTTCTTTTTCCATCACCATCTGAAGCTAAATTAAATGCAATACAGACTCATAAATTGAAATTCATAAAATTTATTTATATTTCATATAGAATTTGAGAATAATAAATAAACCATATCAAACTGAAATATTTTATCTATTACTATTATCTCTATCATATTGTTTTTTTTTATCATGAAAAATTTTATAATATTGTTATTTTATTTATATTTAAAAATAAAAATAGAGTTTTCATTCACTAAAAATATTTGTTCTTCCATAAACATCCTGCATGTTCCTATTTAAAAAAATTTCCAGCTAAATGCGATATTCTACTGGAGAGGAAAAATATTGAGTCCAAGTTACAATCTAGACATTACTGATCTAATTTATTTTTAATAAACATTTATTGAAATAAATATTAAAAATAATTTCAATGACAAAGTTATCTATGTGTGTGTGTGTGTGTAAAGTGAATTAATATATAGATGTACGAAAACATAACCGATTGTGTAAATAATAAAAATATTTACTAATTATCTAAACATTTTATTATCTAATTTATTTTATTATTTTCTGTTTAACATTTTTTTAAAATCAGGTATTTTTTAAAAATGTTATTCTTGTATTATTGTATTATTCTTTTGTGTGTTAATTTTTTTCTTTCATTTTACTGTATGTCATTTGTAATTCTTCCTATCTTTTGAAACTGGAATACATCTAGCTGAAATTTCTAATATAAATGAGAGGTCCTAACTTAATTGTAACTTTACAAACTGAAATAAAATTTTTTATATAAGGTGACCTTATTTTAAATTATTGTATTATTATTTTGTACATATCTGGTTTTCAGATTCATTCTCTTCTCATTAATTTTATCATGTTTCAGCTGAAACTTATTAGTCATTCAAAACTTTAAATTTTTTCCCAAAATGTTAAGTGTACATGTTTTATTTTGCCACATGGAAGATTAATAGACCATTTATGGCACATCCTTATATAAGTGGCCAAGGATAATTGAAAAACAGGTATTAATAAATTGAAAAATTTTCATTTTATATATTATTATTTTTATAATTTAATTAAAATAATGGCTGAATTATACTAATTTACTAATCTCAGAAATTTTGCTGTTAAAATTAGTCTATAAATTAAATGAGAAGATTTAATTGCTATCATTTTAAGTATTAAAATTTTTAAATAAACATCATTCATATAAAAATAAAATATGTTTATGTATTATATACAGTGGAACCCCAGTTAACGAACGTCCTGGTTAACGACCAAATCGGTTAACTAACTATTATTTTGCAAAAATTTTGTCTCGGATAACGAACGTAACGGTATTTTGTGTCAAATTTTAGTTGGTGTTAGGCATGCGCGAGTTAAGCATTGTTTTTCCAAGTGTCTGTGCTATACTGCTTTTTTCAGTTTTGTGACTTATATATTTAATCAATATGGCATCCAAGAAAGAAAAAAGTCATAGTGGCAATAGAAAACGACAACGCAATATAAACTACAATGCGTTATCGCATTTGAGAAAAATTTTGATTAACATGTTAACTGCTTGTTGTAATATGATATTTTCCGTCAAGGGGGGCCAAAAAATGAAAATTTGATATCTAATAATTGATTATAACGTAAATAAAAGGGTCGATGTACAACAGTCAGGAGAGCGACGATAAGAAAAGTATATATAAACAAAAACCGGGGAGTCGTATGACCTTGAACCTGACACTTCTTTCTCCCAGGCAATAAATTTTACAACCCCACTGTAATTAGACGTCCTTCCCTACTTAAAAGTATTTACATCTGTGTGTTAAAGTATTTCACACTTTGTTTCGACTGCAAATGATGTTTTTTTTCTGTAAATATATATTAAAACGCACTTATATACTTTAATTTTTTTTTAATAATATTATTTACTTTATATGCGATAAAAGAGGATAATTAAACTAATTTTCGATATTTTAAATTATTTACTATTAAAATAAACCACTATCAGATATAAAATAGAGTTTTATTTAAAAAAAAACTACGACCGCCGACCTTGTATCGCATCACGACGCCACAAGACGCGCCGGCGGTCGTAGCTAGAATCTGTTTGCCATACGACCGCCAACGTTCGAAGCTAACTGAATAGATGTCCACGAGAGGCCAGCACTAAGCATGCAGAAAACGTTGTACGACGCCAGGAAAATTTAACCTTGAGTAAAATACATTGTTTACGTCTACCGGCGGTCGTATGGCGCAGTACGGGAATTTCCATTACGACGGTGCGCGCGTCGCATGGTGTTATACGTGTTAAAAGAGTAAGACAATCAACTTTAGATCAACTCCTTACGGAAAGAGTTTGTTTCTTTGTTAAGTTATGGCAACGCAACACTTGGGTGATCTGACTAGAGGGAATGCCTTCTGGGAGGTATTTTTAAGGGAAACTGGCCCCTATTTTGGTGTTACAGACATGGAGAAATCACGGAAAACTCCACGTGGCCAGCTCGTCTGAGCGCGGTGCAAACCCACGAAAGAACTCCCCGTGTTCAAGGTACGAAGACCACTTAGCCACTGGTGGGTTTTTTTTTTACCAAAAGACACTTCGACTCGAAGAATCTTCCGATGAAGTGCTACCCGTTATTTTTTTGGAGGGGATTGCCCTTCTTAGCATTAAGGTTCGTATATCTCCACTTTTATGCCACCAACTACAACAAACGAAGGTATGTTGTAGTTTATTACACTGCAATTTTATTAAACAGTGCTATTTTATTAAACAAAGTTTACATGTTTGTTGCTGTAATGATAGATACTACGTTTTCCTACATTTTCATCAAAGAAAATTACTGTATATTACAAATAAAATGACAAAAATTTCGGAGACTAGAACGGATTAATTGCATTTGCATTAATTTCTATGGGAAAAATTGCTTCGGTTAACGAACAATTCAGTTAACGAACGGAATCGTGGAACGGATTAAGTTCGTTAACCGGGGTTCCACTGTAAATATATTATTTTAATGGTTCCAATTTGTTTTAAAGTTGGTTTCAATCTGTAGCAATTAACTATAATTCTGTCAGAAGGGCAAGTTACAGCATCAATCTGAGGATACTGCTTCAAATTAAGTTTTAATTATGTAAATAAAGTTTTAATAGAAACTTTGAAGTAATAGAAACTTTGAAGCATACAATCAAGGAAAGATATCTTATATCTTATTAGATTTGAACATATAGTTATCATATTGAAAATTCTACTTTTATTTTACCAATCTGCAAATACAGATATCCACAGTTAAGATTAGCATGGTAATTAGGTTTTGAAAAAGTGCCATGTTATGCAAATCCATGCTATGCAAAACAGAATTAAGTTCCAAAAATTAGCAAAATTATACTACTGTTTTTACAATTAACAGAAATACCGTATGTTTATTAAAATAATCGATAATAACTAACAATCACAAACAAATATATTGCACATTAATATTAATTTTTTCTTCACTGCTAAACACCATTAAACAAGGACATTTTCTCTTTAGCAAAATAATATCTTCTGAGCTTTCCTGTTGACCTTAATCTCAATTATCAGCAATATCTTGATTTTTCTCTATATTTTTTCTTTTGGTATTTTCATTGCTCGCATTTGTCTATTTTTAAAAATTTAATCTATTAATGTAGTAACTTTCAATTTAATCTATAAAACAAAGTACAGCAACAGTCATTCAGGTTCATTTAGAGCACTATCACTGGCAATAGAGCATCTATAGAAAGCTACAATAAGAAGCTAGACAAAGAAGAAAAAATATTGTACAATCAGTTCTCATTAAAGAAAACCTGGTGAAAAGCATAAAACAACATGGATTTTAGAATATTGAAATTTTCAAATACAGACAACATGCATGGTTTTTAATTAAAAGAAAATTGAATGATGATGTTTTTACTTAAATTGTGACATTTTTATTCAGATGTCTCCAATTCTTGAACCATTTTAGAACTAAACTGTGTTGCAAGAGCGATTTCCCCTTTCTCCCTTTTCCAATTCTCAAACTGTTAAGAGTGAAACCATGTTGCAGGAATGCTGTATTGTACATGGGATACTTGTATATAAACATATTTTAATTGTTTTGTTCATTTCAAAAAAATTTGATATAAAATCCTATTGGCATTTGTGGACCAATAGTCTATACACCAACAGAATTTTTTATTGTCTGTTGGTTTGATCATTCCCATAAAAACTAACAAAATTGCAAAAAAAATTGTTATTGGTTTAAATATTCCTCTAGAATACAATTGCATTTGTCTATCTTTTGAAATAATAACTGGTTTCAATTGGTTACTATTTTTTAACAGATTTTTTTTAACAGACATCTGTACTAAATAATGTTTTTAATTCAAAATGGAATTCCATCCAGTATCATATAACAATACACTTAGTTTAATGATAATATATAAACATCATTTAATTTAAAAATATTATTACCAATTACTGCATATCCATCTTTTATGGAAGCAGGAAATGGAGGGAGATTATCAATTGCAAAAATATCTTCAGCCAAGATAAATCCAAGGCAATCTAAATGTAAAAATAACATATTAATCACTATATTAAAGATATAAAAATTGCTGTAATAAATTGAATAAATTTATTTTAAAAATTTTATGTTTAATGTCTGATATATTAATAATCACTAAAAAAAACTTCAAAATCTTTAAAGATAGCACATGGTCTCTACTAAACACACTATTTTTGCCTGATTTTCCCAACTGTCTATAAATTTGGCCTGACCAAAAGTACCATAATGGATTTCATACATGGGCTTCTCAAACATTCTTAGTGTGATGGTCAACTCATGTTTCAAAGTGAAAATTGTTGTTTGATTAAAAATAGTTAAGTAGATTAAATTATACAAAATGTTTAGTAACCATATTTTAAAATTACAGTTGAATTTATCTATCTTAAATATATTTATCTTGATAATCTTTCTATCTTGAAATTTATTTTTTCTCCTGCATTTCAGCCTAAATTCAATATACTATCCACATTTATCTCAAATAATTTTCTCCTAGACTGCTATATCTCAAATTATAGACTGAAGTGTCAATTACAAATTCAAAGCTCAGTGACACTTTGATAACATAAATTGTAATTGACAAACATCTCTTGGAATACTTTCATAGTTGCAATTAATGCTGTTTTTCTCTGATTGGTTATACAAGTATGTACTTGCTACTGCATTAATAAAATATCTTAACTCCAATCAAATCTATAACTGTTCACTGTATACGAACCTCTCTCAAAACCTGGACATGAGTATGCAACCCTTGGCATGCTGACAATGTCTTTTTGACATGCAACCAGAATTCACCTTATAAAATAAATATCCAACATTTTTTAATATATTTTTTTGTGTTTGTAAAGAATTTATCACGTTTCTAGAGTGTATATATTGGATTTTTGACTATTTGAAGAGATTATCTTAATACTTAAAAGACACCAATTAATAATATGATCCCAAAAATTTAGATTGGCATGGAGAAATTTTGCATCATTTTGTGATTTTGGCATGCACACTTAAAAAGGTTGTCTAGACTGACCTAGGATACTGCAGATATTATTCTAAATACCATCAATACATACATATACATACATATCAATACACAATTTTTCTTTATGATAAAAATTTCTTTTGAAATTTATTGTAAGATTTATTTTTTAAAATTTAAATAATCTATACATCAACCAAAGCTGAATATTATCAGGCTAGAAACGACTATAATACTAATAAATTAATAGACAATTTGGCATTAGAGTTAGGCGTTAGTATTATAGCCATTTCTAGCCCAATAATATTTGGCTTTGGTTGATGTATAGCTTTAAACGTATCAGGTATAGTAAGGATGTTTGATTATTTAAATAATCTTCAAAATTTTTACCTTTAAATTTAAGATATATTACATTCATGCTATCACATTCATCTATTATTAATTTTTGTGCATCTTGTACAGGAACAAGAGGATAAATTGAATGTCTAGGTCTTTTTGCAACACAAGACACATCTACTTTACCTAAAAAGAAAAAACTCACAATAATTACAAGTTATATTTAATTAAATTTCTTAATATATAGAAAAATTTAAATTTTAAAATAGTTTTAAATTAAATGCTACTTATTCTTCCAAATTGTTAAGTTTTTTTCTAAAATTATATGTTAAGATACAATTTGTGTGAATATATATCACACATATTGTATTGTTCACACACATTATATACACACACACATATACATATTCACACATTGTATCTTAACACATAATTTAAATAAATACATAATATATAAACAAAAATAAACACTGCAAAAACCTAAAAAACCAGCGATAAAATTATACATAAAGTGCGAACGTTTCGATCATGTTAAATGGGCATTGTCAGGCAAGACACTACTGTGAAGATAGAGGGGATTGCTGAATACGTGTGTAGGGGAAGGGTTGTAATTTTATTGCTGGTTCATTAGGTTTATGCAGTGTTTATTTTTGTTTAATATTTGTTTTATAACAGAATTCCAATCAAAGTTTATGAAATGTGCCATAAATTTTGTTATTGATGTTCTTTTATTTTGAAAAATAATTTTATTCTGTTTTGTTGTATGATTAGTTTTTGATTGAAATTTGAATTTTTTATTTGATGTTAAAATGTATAAAATATTAAGATATTAAAATAATAGATTAAATAGAAAACAAACAATAAAATTCAATTTTCATAAATGACTTTATTGTTAGAAAAACTGACAGAAAGCACCACTGCACAGTAACTTAAAATTTTGTTTGTCTGTCGAAAATGCAAAATAGTCTCAACTTAGTATCTGAAAAATAATTTAGGAGTATCAAAATAGAAAAAATAAATTGTTCAGAAGTCAAGGACTGTCTATAATTAGTTTTCAATGACTGAATGAAACAGATATTTGAATGACTAGATTAACCAGCCATCTCTATTGCACATATTATTTACTTTTTGCCTTTAGTTACTACATTAAATTGTGATAACATAACCAGTTCTTTAAATTTTAAGGCTTATCACACCAGTGAATATAATATTACAAACAAAAGTAGTTTATTTTGTATCTACATTTTACAACTGACATAGAAAAAGAACTGTATAATGACTTAGATTAAATTAAATCATTGTAATTAAATCTTAAATCATTGTAACTTTCTATTCTATACTAATTGTAAAATTTAGATATAAAATGAACTACTTTCATTTGTTGATTCTGTTGCATTGTTTTGCAAAATCTGTTGCACTGATGTAACATATTCAGTGGTGTGATGAATCCTAAAATTTAAAGAATTGATTAGGTTATAATAATTTAATCTCTATTCCAAATAATATTTCAAATATAATCTTGAGATAAATGTAAATACTTATATATCAGTATAATGTAATACAATTTAAAAAAGCACAACTTCAACGACAAAAGATTTTAATATAGGTTTTTCTGGGGATGAATAGCTTCTAAATTATGAACAAGTACAGAAAGATATATTAATATAAACTAAGATTTGAATAGTTAATGTATAATTTAGTCTATTATTCATCTATATCTTGAATATCTATTGTATTATCATAAAATAATTCCTTTGATACTATGAACTCTATCATTAACATTCAGACTTAATAAACGCAAGACTGATAATTATCCTGATGATTCCCTAAATTTTATTTGTAATCTTGTGATTCTTAAATCTGATTCTTACTAATATATATATTATATTATATATNATATATAAACAAAATCATTGCAATTTTTTTAAATGTGTGATAATCATGCAAACAGAAGTTCAATAAAATTCAACAAAGTCATTTAAAAAAATACCAAAAGAATAAATTTGAAAGTATTGTTTTGGTCTGGGTTATGTGAATGCCATTAGTCATCAGTGCTATATCATCTAATAATAATTGTTTAACAGGTATATATCCTTTCATTTTGCAAATATTCCATGTATGTTAGTTAGTAAATTATGTTAGGTTTAATTCATGATTATAATTTCTGTAAATATATATATCTGAAATCTTACAAGAGAATTTTTTAGAATTGTAGTTTTTTTTGTCATTAACAGAGATAATACTCTCAGTAAATAAACTATTCATGACTTTTATTAAATATATTCATTTCAGCATAAGATTCAACATTATGAATAAATCAGTTATTTACAATAAGTACAGTAGAACCCCAATTATCCAAGCACTGATTAACCAAGGTTCTGTATTATTCAAAGTGAACAATATTACAATATGTAATTGAATACACTACTTTTCTTATACTGTAATTCATAAAACAAAGTTTAAAACAATAACATGTTTCACAAAATGATCTTTTATTATTTAACTTTAATGTAAGAGAAATCACTCATATAAAAATATAAAAATTATAAAAATATAATTGCAACAAAACACATTTTATTCCTAAAACTATTGTATTGTCAGCTGTGTAACAAATGATGTAAAAATTGTTCTATTATATGATTAAATTCACTAAGGTGGCATGACCATATGTTCCAATTTAGGTGGAACAATCCATTTTAGCTTCATGTTCTGCCATCCATAAAATGCTTGGCAGGATGTGCAAAAGTCCCACTCTAAGTATTGAATGTCCCTTGTGAAGATAGGAGACTTTTGATGGCCTCAATTCACTGACTGGACAATACTAGTATACTAGATGTAGAAATTGATGCATAAACAGCCGATTGAACAGTCTGTTGCAAGATGAATTGCTCTTGCTTGTATACATTATAACTAAGTCAACCAATAATCTAATACAATACTCCAATATAGCTTGATGATAATGAGAGAAAGGAAGCTGCCATCTGACATCTTCCTCTCCTTGCAACTTGCACATCCATTGAATGGATCTCTCATGTAAATACTATATGCAACAAAACGCAACTTATTATTGCAATGTTGAAGACAATGCTTCTGGTGAAATGTAACTTTGATGCTTCTGGTAATTCATGTGAGGAACTATACAAAACACTTGATCTTATGCAAAAAATTCACTCATCAGTGAAATATTGTGCAACAAATGTGTTCCAGCAAAAGGATGTAGTACCAAGCACATCATCTGTTGCATTGATGTGAATCATGAGATAATTTGAATTTATAATTGCCACAATTGTTTTTGTAGTATTCTGTGTATCCTGAAGTGTATTCTGCTTTAGTGTCCACTGAAGTTAATTGTTATTATAAACTCACAAGTAACAGGTTTTCTGGACCAATTACAGTTAAAAACTAATCTCAATACAGATTTCAGTAGATGCTAAAGAGAAAACTTGGTTATCCTTCTTGTCTCCGAGATATCTTTTTAATCTGTAATAAAACCTGATATCACCTGACTCTTCTTGACTTGCAGTCAGAGTAACAATTTTATAAGGTGCAAAGCAAAGCAAGCGTAAGGCCATTGATGGACATAGATGGAGTCAGAAACTAAAAACTCGGACACATTTTATCTAAGTTTTCATTTATCCAAGGTAGCATCAGTCCATATTACTTCAGATAATCATATTTTACTACACTGTTTTACTATATTGTTGAATGAAATCATAGTTCCTTCTGAATCTTTGTAGAAACAAATCACTAATATAAAGTAATAGAAGTTTGATATACAAATATTCCACTTTATAAATTTATATTCAAGTTGTTATTGTAATCAATGTTTTCATAATGATATGAATTTATTGTTAATACATTAAAAATTAATAATAATTATCTAGCAAAAAAAGCAATACCATTTTTTTATAATGAAACACTGTGATAAGAGGATAAATTAAATATAAAGTCAGATAAAATGAAACAGAAACAACCTATGAATAATATATTTTCATGATGATTCATCATGAAAATGTGATCACATGTAAATGAAGTGAAAAACTCTAAACTACCACTAGAGGGCTAGAACCAGTTATAAATAGGCTAAGGAGTTGATAAAGGGTGAGAAAATGTATCTTTACTTTTAATGTAAAACGTCAGATCCTCCAATAAAAGGCTGACACAAATTTGATATTGTTTTTAACTTTGTGAATTTTTATCTATTATTATTTGTCTTTTTAATGAAGTTTTTCTTCAAGCCAATTTAACTGTTACTTGTGTGGTTATGTTAATGGATAAAGAAAAGACTGAAAAATATTGTATATTTTTGTAAATGGTCTTAACTTCAATATGATTAATATAGTTAATCTTTGGTATCAAAAGGAAAGCAATAGATTGTATGTTTCTCAGTAAGAATACTTATTTTTAACATTTCTTTCTGCATTTAAATTTGTTTATTATGACATATATCAAAATAAACAAGTTTTTAATCTAAATATAAATAATATTTCTATATTATTGATATTTAGATTCTCCTTTTAATTTGTCCATTTTGTTCTGTATTATAAATATATATATCTGAAGATGTCAGTTATAGACAGATGAAATGTTAGTAAAAAGTAGTAATTTGTGGTATGCTGGTATAAGTGTCATGTTTAATTAAATTAATATATAACAGTTTTGGAAAGTTATTAATATTCATATAGAATTTTACTTACTTAATTTATGGCAGCAACTTGAATTCTAAAATAAAAAAATTATTAAATATATTTAAAAATAGCTTTATAAAATAATTTAAAAATTTTAATTTACTAAATTAAAATAGTATTTGACTTAAATCAAAATTAAATTTAAAGAACAAAAAAGAAAAACCAAGAAAGAATAAAGTTAAAAGACATTTCAATTCACATAAATAGTTTTAATTTTACAATAATTCTCAAGACTTGGTACCATTCTGTATTCTAATTCCTTCAATCTGTTTATTTTAAAGAGACAAGCCTCTTTACTTTTGTCAATAAAATGTTTTCAGCTTCTATTGAACCATCATCAGTTGCCATTTTTTGTTTTTTAAATTTTTTCTCAAAGAACAAATACAACATTATATTTGTTTGGAATGAATTACAGCATTACAAATCATAAGATATAAATAAACAAAAAACAATTAGAATATTCTTATTTCAGTTCAAAATACATTTACGTTTTCAAATTCATAAAGAAAATAAGTCGTTTCTAGGAATTTGGCAAATAATCAAAATCTGATCAGGAATTCCAATTACTTGCCTGGAATATCACGAATTCTCAAATTCTTGATATTCCAAACTTTACAGGAGGGCACTCCAATCTTCACAGCAGTTGGCATCAATTTTTTTCCACTTCACACAAGATTGGTATATAATAAATTACCAAACGATCGCCTAAATATCAGGCTATAATATGGCTAATTAAATGATTGGAATAAAGCAATTTGACAATAGAGGTAGGCGTTAGGCGCCATCTCTTAAGTAAATTAATAATTAAAATTAAATAAATTATTAAATAAATTTTAGAACCTTCTGGAATAAAAGAACTGGCCCAGGACGGGGCATGAACCTGCAACCTCCGCTTGCCGTGCAGTGTGCTTGCCAGTTACGCCACCCGGACCCCGAGCGAGTCTTCGCTTTCAGAAGTATATTAGATTAGATATAACCTTACTTGGTTAAATACATCACTGACTGGGGACGACTCCATCGCCCACGCTGAGTGCTGGCTGAGTGCCAACAATTTAAGGAGATTAACATTTTTGAGGTATGAGCCCAACAGCTTAGTTTAGCTTACCCTTAAAAATAGGAGTAAAAACATAATAAATCCCATCAAGATTTCCCTTTATTCAGGCACCCTATTAACAACGATAAAAATCCTTTTTGGGTTCAAATTCCAACGTGTTAACACTCTTGTTAATCTGGTTGACCTATACTCACCTCCGCCCCCCAGCCAAACCCCCTAAGATCAGGAGGTGAGTGCCCAATATCACATTTATTTCCCATTCATTATCATTTCCAGATATTACTATCTATTTTGCCCTACTTGTATCATTCCTAAATATTATTATCTATTTTGCCGTGTTTATCTTAATCTGTATTTCATAAAATAACATATTATGTTTATTATTTATGTTAATAAAACTATTCTTTTAAAACTTCTTTTTTGGAGAGTCATGATCACCACTCACTCTTCATTATCTATTATTATTAATCTATTCGAAGAGTGGCCCTTATAAGCCCTTATTGTTCTTTCTTTCTTTTTAGGATATAGGGGGGAATACCTTCGGAATGCGGCGCCCCCTCAGGCCCCCCAAGGAGGGACTATCTTGTTTTTCTCATCAAAATCCGTATCTGGAGTATATATACATCATCCAGAGGATGGATAGCATAATTTGTAGTGAGAATTGGATTTAAAATTTTTGAATTCATGTTCTTTGTGGCGCATTTTTG